CCTGGACCCCAGGGAAACTGCGGTCTGCTGGTGGGCACTGGGGCGCCCTTATATTCTCCCAGCCTTGGGACCCAAGGACTGACTCTGCCCGTGCCCGGACCTCCAGATGTGGCTCGTTCCCAGGGTGCTGATGGGACCCCTGCTTGCTCACCCTTCCCTTCGCAGACACAGGAGCCCCCTCCCCCTCTCTCACATAAATATGTAAATGCTCACTTGTGTGGGGGCGGGGAGGGGGGGGAGGAAAGCCTGGCCCCATCCACCTGCCCCGGGGCTTTCCTGGGGTTTGTCTAGGGAAGGACAGATAATCGGGAGCAGGTAGGAAGGGCAGAAAGATGGTTCACACTGTGCTCTTCCCACCTGGCCCCCAAACACCCCGGGCTCTCCTTTGCCTGTGTGTGTGTGTGTGTGTGTGTGTGTGTGTGTGTGTGTGTGTGTTCGAGGTGACTCCCTCCCCACGCAGAGACTCACAATTCTGATTTCAGAGTTTTCTTTCGGAAAGAGGTGACTGGGTTTCTTCTAGGTCCACACGGACAAGACAGCTCCGGACACACATCTCCACGTGGCAGCATTGCCAGACGGGTTTGTTTCTTCTGTTTCCTGACATGATGAAATAACTGAAATTGTCCAAAAATAAGTAAAATCAGAAAGAAGACTCTTAATAAATGAATCTGTTTCTTCCAGCTGTGGATGCTGAACTTTCCTCTCTTTACATGATACTTCTAAAGATGTGGACATGTGGAAAAATTCTGAAAGCCCGTTCAGAACTGTTCAGTACAGAAAGTGTAATTGCAGGATTATAAATACCCTCCAGCTAGCAGAGTTAGTTAGGGCGTCTCTGGGCACATCAAAGTCTAGTCATGTAGCAAATCGGCTTAAGGAATCAGGAAAATGTAATCCTCAGAATACGAAATCCCCGAGCAGGGGACATGAAGAGTTGATTAATTCAGCAGCACATAGTGTAGTTAGAGACCCAGGACCCTGTGGTCAGCCCAGAAGCCTGGGCAGACTGCTGGCTTGCTTCTATACTGTCAAATCTAGACGTGTGACAGAGCAAGGGCTTCTCTCGTTTCTCTTTAAAGATGATGAACTCTTTCTCATGAGCTCCCCTCACACGTGGATGTTAGAAACCTCACTCGTCCGTCTGTCCACGCTTAGCAAACAGCGACAACGTGCGTGCAGTCACCAGAGCTGCGTTTCAGTGATTAGGATTGAAGCGTGTGATTGGTCCGCATCCCACAAAGACAGACATGGAAACATCGAAACAAAGTCACTTGCTAGATTTGGGGCAGAGAAGTGAGATGGGGAAGCAGCCTGGGGCGTGCAGACACGTCCGTCTCAGAGCCTGCGCTCTTGACCTCCATCATTTTCCTTCTGACATTTGCTGAGCACAAAGTTTCCAAGAAATTATTTTAAATGCTTGCAGGTTCTGCCTTAGTTTTTAGAGGCAGAGAGTGCTATTTCTTGCACGGGTAGAATTGCTCCATCATTCCTCCCAATGTTTTTGAGGTGGTTGAATCCGACCAGGTTTTATTTGGGCATCTCAGCATGCCAGTGTGTGTTCTGTGTCTGTATATGTGACATAGAAAAATACATCGAGGCATGCGGAAGAGGCCGATGATGGCACTGATGGACACATATCTGTCTTAATACTAAGTACAGTTTTATCCATGCGGGTATTATAAAGGTAAAGAATAGCAAACTAAGCCACTGTAATTGAAAATAGTATTGAGGTAAATGGAAATTTTCTAAAAGCACACACTTGAACACCGTTATTCAAGAGCATTACATCGGAAAGCGGTCCCACAACGAATTAAGAATGTATTCACAACTGAAAGTGGATTCTTAACAAAAGTGGATGTTTTTCCCAACAGTGATACAAACTGAACTCCAGTAAATGCACACATTCCTCTTCTTAAATATAACTGTTTAGAGATAGAAATCACCATTGCCGACATCATTTTTCATATATGAAATGACCAGAGGTGTCTATTTTCAAAAACATCTCATTAGTTCACAGTTATGTTACCTAGTGATTAGCAGTTAGCCTTCCAAATCAAGTTTCGCTGACTGCATATATATTTCCAACAGAAAATGTGACTGCTTCTCAAATGTAATAATTACTTGTATCCCACTATTTGCCGTATTTTGAGCACTTTAGGAAGCCGGTTTTACTGAGGCCTATTGTTAGGTACATCCACATATCTAGAAGAGTTGTCGTCACATGCTGGAGTGGTCCAAATCCTCAGGAAGGACACTTTTTGTCTTCAAAGAAGGTATATAAGAGAAGCTAATTCTTCATTACACTATTAAGCTAGAAGTTTCTAATTAAGCTTTTTGGAGATTTTGAGGTTGTCAGTGTAAGAAGCAAGCAGCTGCTTTATTCTCTGGGCCATACCCTTTGATAAATGCAAAACTTAGATTCTTTTTTTTTTTTATTTTTTAATGTTTATTTGTTTTTGAGAGAGAGACAGAGCTTGAGCAGGGGAGGGGCAGAGAGAGAGGGAGACACAGAATCCGAAGCAGCTCCAGGCTCTGAGCTGTCAGCACAGAACCCGACATGGAGCTCTAATTCACAGACTGTGAGATCATGACCTGAGCCAGTCAGACCCCCAACCGACTGAGCCACCCAGGTGCCCCAAAATTCTCTTCAAATATGCTGTCCCATATTCCCATCCACGCAATCCTGAGCGGACGGGACAAGGAACATGTATTTCTTTATGACATCCGGTATAGCTGTTACAGGGGAATGTTGTATATTCCAGGTGAGAAAAAGAAGTGGGTAAAAAGTAGCGAAGTCCGGACAGAGAGCGCTCTAGTGTTCTGTGGCTCAGGTATGCCAGCTTCCTTCACTGAATAAACTTGTGGTGTGGCCTGTTATTCAGCGAATGGCATGCAATTTGTGTAACCGAATTTCAGTTAAATTATTGTCAAGCCATTTCCTTGGCAGGAAACAGATCCTTGATTTATGGAGTGATAACTTCCTTCTGTTCCTCTAATAAGAAATCCAGGAGCATGTGAATGCTGCATAGTGCCTACCTGCCTTCAGAGGAGTTCGATCGTGTGATCGCTGTGGCAGACCTGCACATGGCCGTGACCGCTAGCCTCCTATCTGGGTCAAGGGAAGCCGCCGCCCTGCTGCCTTCCAGGGAAGAAGCCTCGCCTTCCCTCTCTGTGCTTAGGGCTGCCCACTGCTTGGTCCAAGATGAGACACTTGTTTTAAGGGGACCCGCGCCTGGCCTGGTCCGTGGCTCTCTGTTGAGTCAGCTGGGCATGAAGGCCTTTGCCCACAAGAGTGACAGAAACACAGCTAACGCTCCTAACACAGGCACGTTCTTCCCTCTCTGTGGAATTTTTACAGCCGCATCTGGAGGGCAGAATCTCCCCCTCAGAAGTGGGAGAGTTGAGTTACAGAAAGCAGCCGTGGCGGCCACGAGTCCTGAGTAAAAGAAGACCTTGATGGCTTCAGGCATTGCCTGGAATTCTTTTAGTTCTGTGTGTATTTAGGTCATATTCATAGACGCATGTAACCTGAGTGGGTGCACAGACTGTTAGTCAGAAGCGCCTCATACAGTCTCCAAACTATTTCTTTTCTTTCTTTCCTTCCTTTGTCTTTTTCCTTCCTTCCTTCCTTCCTTCTCTTCTTTTCTTTTTTCTTTTTTCTTTTCTTTTCTTTTCTTTTCTTTTCTTTTCTTTTCTTTCCTTTCCTTTCCTTTCCTTCCTTTTTTTCTTTTCTTTTCTTTTCTTTCCTTCCTTCCTTCCTTTCTCCTTTTTTTTTTTTTGGAACATTATGAAGCGTGTCAGCCTGACTGGCCTGGAAACGGGGCTGTGAAAGAAGACTTAACTAAGCGATGCCTGACGTGAAGGAGGGAGCACACGCACTCACGGACAGCTTCCCTCCAGCCCAGAAGCTGGACAACAGCTGACTTGGGAGACAAAGGTAATCATGAAAAGATCTTAGAGTTGTATTTTTTAAGTTCTTTACAAGTCATTTTAACTTCTTTAAATGTTTATTTCTGAGAGAGAGAGAGAAGTCATTCATTTACAAAGGTGTCAGAATTGGGGAGCTTGGGTGGCTCAATCGGTTAAGCATTCGACTTCAGCTCAGGTCATGATCTCATAGTTCATGAGTTCGAGCCCTACATCGGGCTCTGTGCTGACAGCTCAGAGCCTGGAGCTGCTTCGGATTCTGTGTCTCCCTCTCTCTCTGCCTCTCCCCTGCTCTCACTTTGTCTGTCTCTCTTTCTCTCAAAAATACATAAACATTAAAATAAAAAAATACAATAAAAACAAAAAGGTCTCAGAACTCACAGACCCAAAGGAAAAGAAATAACAATCCTAAACAAGTAAAAACGGATGTCTGATGACATCACGCCTCGTGACAGAGCGAAGAAAGGGGACCTTGTCCGAGGGCAGCTCCGTGACTCCCGATGGAGGTGAAGATGTGCAGGTGTTTGCTTGGGAACTAACTCCCCGCACGTGTTACAAGGAGACATGTATGAAGGTGTGTACAGTGGTGCTGTGTGCAATAAAGGAAACTATTTCGCGGAAATGGATGAAAAATGGAAGCATCTTACATATAGCTTGTTCTGCATTCCTCTACTCCTCCTCAGAATTCCCAGGGACACTTACCATCCCATTTCACACATGCGGAAACTGAGTCGCAGAGACCCAAGGAGAGTGAGGGGCAGAGCCAGGACCCACAGCCGGGCTCGGGGGCCCTTGTCCTCACTTACATCATGTCAGGAACTTTCTTTCTGACGCTGGCATGGGACGAGGTGGGACAGACTCTGTGTCACGTAGCCGGAACTTGGCAAGCGCTCAGGAACGTTTGCTGAAGCGCGAGCGCACCTTACAGGACATGCCGGTGCCGGAGGCAAAGAGCCTGAATCCAGGAAATGTCCAGGAGCCTGCGTGGGGACCAGGCAGGGCCAGTGTCTTTTCAGCAACTTCAGGTCCAACAACAGAGATTTGAAAGAGAAGTGAGCCGAGCCAGGTTGTTCAAACACGCATTAGATGTGGGCAGTCAGCCTACTAGGGTCCCGTAGATAAGCTGCTTTCGGGAAGGGGCCGCTCAGGGTGGGTCTGGACTGAAGCTTTGGAGCCGGAGACGAGGCCCCTAGTCTCGGACAGCGTGGGGCCGAGCGGGTCCTGGGAGCTGGCGGGAGTGCCCCTGGGGCTGGCCCACCGCCCACACCCCCGCACGTCAGGGACCCCTGCATCCAATCCAAATAGTGTCCAGCAGGCCCTGCATTCCCCTGCGCGCCCCGGCCCCTGCGATGTCAATGCAGAGCCTAGTCCCCAGTGGGCTTCCCCGCGCCCTCCGACGACGTCTGGTTGTATTTCCCACTTAGAGCCCGATCCTGAGTCACTGAGCGGCGGCGGACAGTTCAGCACTAACGCGCTTGGCTTCTCGGACCTTCTCATTAATTATCGTAACAGCAGAACTTGAGCGTTCTTTCCCCCTGCCCTCCGATGGCCCAGCTCTGGCCACACCGCAGGGAGCGCCCCTGGCACGCGCTGGGGCTGCAGATGCCCCCTGGGGGCGGGGGGCGTCCCCCCGCAGCCCCGCAGGCGGGGAGATGCCAGGGGCGAGCGCGCGTGTCCGGGTGTGTGTTTGGAGATGCCATTAGAATTCTTACAAATACTGAAAGTGAAATGAGGAAATGATTGGGCAAGCGGATGGAAGGGCCGGTGCCAGGAAGACCTATCATCCGCCGGGGGCCGGGATGCAGCGGCGCAGACGGACGGAGACTCAGGGGCGCGCTCCGGAGCGCCGGGGCACAGCCCGGCCGTGGAGTCGGTGTGGGGCCTCGGCGCGCACAGCTCACAGGAAATGATCCACTCCCCGCGGCCGCTGACTCGAAAGGCCCGGACCCGCGGACTCCCACGAGTGCCATGGATGGCGGCGCAGACGGCGAGCGGTCACGCCTCCGCCCCCGCCCGGAGAGCGGAGCCGAAATGAGAGCGAAGGAGCGCGTCTCCGCCGCCCCGCACGCCGGCGGCCCGCCCGGCCGGCTCTGCGGGGACGGCGCGCTGCTGGCCGCCTCCCTGCTGCTGGCGCTCGCGTCCTGCTGCCTGTCGGCGGCGTCCCTGTGCCGCGCGGCCGCGCTGCAAGCCGAGCTGGGCGGCCTCCGCGCGCAGCTGCGGGCCGAGCCGGGCGCCCCCCGCGCGGGCGCCCCAGCCCCCGGGGAGCCCGCGGCCCCCAGCGCGCTGCAGGTGAGCGCGGCCTCCGCAGCGCCCCCGCCCCCCGCCCGCGCGACGCCCCGGCCCTAACTGGGGGCTCCTCTCTTCCCAGGGGATCTTTGCACCGGCCGCGGCGGGAGGGAGCAGAAGGAAGCGCGCCTCTCTGGGGCCAGAAGAGACAGGTAGGTTGGGGCGCGGAAGCCTTCCGGAGGATCCCGGCGTCCGCAGGTGTGCAGTGTAGACGCTGGCCTCTGGCTTGGGCACCCCCCCCCCCCGGGAGCGCTGGACGGTGCCGGGAGACCGTGAACGTGGCCTCCACACCACCTGTGGCTTTCGCGCCGCGCCGGTGCGCCCGCAGGCGTCGGCCCGCTGGGCACGTCGGCCCCCGACGGGCAGGCGCAGGCCGGGAGGGCTGTGCTCCGCCTGAGCGCGGACCGGGGAAGGGGCCCGGGTCTCACTCGCAGCGCGCACCGGCGGCGCAGGCCCCGTCCGCGCGCCCCTCCGGGAGAAGCGCCCGGGGCGCCGTGCCTACGCGGGCCGGGTGGGGAAGGACCTTCCCGGAGGGTGCGCGGCGCGCGCTGGGGTCATGCCCGGAGCAGGTGTGCGGATGCGATACACACACACACACACACACACACACACACACTTTAAAGCTTGTCTTTAATGACTCTTTCGCCAGGAAACGCACAGCTTAAGAGTTCTTTAGCCACCTCTGCCTTTCTTCATGCTCCATCTGTGCCCCAGAATCTTCTAGATTCCTGAAACCCCAGACAGCGCAGGGCGCCCCAGAATGCTCCATTCTAGCTCCTACATTTCAAAGATGAAAAAGGGCATCTGCATTAACTTCTGTAGTATCACGACTTCAAAAACCCTTGGTTTTACTTCTCTTTTATATTGAAAGAGCATGTTTGGAAGTCATAGAATGAGCCAGGCGGACACGTGCTGGATGGGATGTCGCAGCTACTGTTTCTTCCCATCCTCACGTTGCCTGTTGTCCTGTGAACGGAACAGGTGACCAGGAGTAGTTGTCTATGTCTGTATTTGTACTTCCGACTCACACAGTAGGTGTTCTTCCACCCGACAACACACAGCCGCGCGCACAATGCTCTGACTGTAAACACAGTTTTTCACTGACTGCCTTATTCATGGAAAAAATTCTTTCCTGTTTTATAAAACCATGATTTTTACATACGCTCTGTGTCAATTACCTTTTGTGAGTCTTTGTGTCTATTATCGGACACAAATGGCTTTAAACAAATGTAGACTATGGAAACACTCATATTTTTACCCCGCTTGAACACATGAATTGCTTTCATAGTTTGCATTTTATCAACTGCAAAAACACAGCATCTATACTGCGGTATGTTTTTGCGTTCACTTATCGTTATACAATAAGCATTTTCCCTATTGCTAGGGAAGTTTCTAAGTAATTCTCACACATCCATGTTGGTTCGTTATCATACAGTTACTTAACTTGATCGTTTCCAAAGCTGTTATGCGGATCTCTGATTCCTGAGGAATTTTATGGGTTCGACGTAAATCCCCTAGGTGAAACATCAGAGGTGAAGAGGGTGAACATCTTTCTCGCCCTTGCTGCCTCCTGCCGTGTTGGTGTCAGAGTGAGTGGAAAACGTGTGCAGTCAGAAGTGCAATGCACAAGGTCTCGACATTCTTACAGCGTTTTATCTTGTTAAATTTATTTTGGCTAGTTTAGTAGTTGTCAAACACTATCTCAAATGTAATCTGTTGCTTGCTTGAAAACAAGAATGAATTTTTGCACATTTGGGTAACTTCTAATTTTATCTGCTGCTAATTTTTATTTATAGCTTCCCTCATTTGTCCTTATTTGCTGTAATTTTGAATAAGCTCTATTAGGCATACTGCTTATCCAAAGTTGGTTGTAAATATTTCCATAATATCTTGCAGCTTTTTAAAAATTTGTACAGCTTTACATCTATGTATTTGATGTGATAAACTTTTCCTTTTGCTTTTCTCTACTACATCAAAGCTAAAAATATATGAATCCATAATCTCTTAAAAAGCCTATTCTATAATAAGCTACTTTGACTTTTTCACAAGTTAGTGTTTTAGTTTGGTATTTAACTCCTTAATCCTTCTGGCCTTTGTTTGGTCGATCACCTCACACCAGCTTTACCTTCCTTATTTTTCTTTTGTTTTCCTACCAAACTGCTATAAAATATAGCCAATTTACGGGATGCTTCCTTTTAACTTGTTTGCATTGGAAAGCTTACTGTGTTACTATTAAATCTCTCCTGACTCTATCTTGAGACTGTTTTTTCATTGATTTATTATTCTGTTTATCTGTATTAAATAAAATATTTTAAGTATTTTGTAACATAATGAGCTTTAATATCTAGTAGGGTCAGAATGCCTCTGTCTTCTTCAACCTCTCTGCTGTTATTCCCCAGCCTCTGCACATTCATTTTACAAATAAACCTTAACTTTACTGTTGTAGAGAGGATATGGGCTCATTACAGCAGATTTAAGAAGAAAGAACGTTGAGTAAGAAATTAACTTCCGGAGTCCCACTTCCTCAAAATACCCTCTATTATATTTTAAAATTTCCTCCCATGTGCACATTTTTACAAATGTGTGATTTGATGGCATCGGAAAATTAAATTAAAATTTTTTCCTAAATAATTTTAATTTTTAGAAAGCTTGGAAAGTAATAGAGAATTATATCAAGTGAATCAAAATTTACTTGGTTTCTACAACCCGAATTTAATTGCTATTGTCATGAACATGGTTTGCCTAAGATTTTTATAAACCTTTCATATAGTATATCAATCTATATAGTATATGTATGTATAGTATGTATGCATATGGATATATATGTGTATATATACAGTATATAGTACATCTCTCTCTCTCTCTCTCTTTATTTCTCTCTCTCTCTCCCTGTATATACACTGATAACATTCATAGATCTGAGATGAAAGATCTGAAGAAGAGAACTTAGTGACAGGTCATAGCTGCTACTCCTCATCAGTGAAACTGACTTGAATGTCATTTTAGACACCATCCTCTTATGAAGGGAAATCATATTTGTTTAGCACTACAAAAATAATGGGTATATAACCAAGAGGTTTCTGAAATGCCTTGATTTTATTTTTCTGTTTGGTAGGGTGCTTTTTTTTAGAGTTGAGAAAATGCTGTACAATTTGAATCTATACAGATTTGTTTCTTTGTTTTTGTTTTCAGTTTTGTTGTTGTTTATTTATTCTCTATTCTAGTTCTGATTTAAGTAAGGGTCAAAAAAACCTTAGGTTCTACCTTTTACTTTCAAAGTGTCCATTTATGTTCTTATATGTTAATCTTCCCAATACTTTATAGATCCATTGACAGTTTTTGGTTGGAGTTTCATAAAAATTGCAGTTCTGAGGAAGAAAATGAATTTTTACAGTGTTTCATTTATATATCCAAGAATGCTTAAATGTATAATATCTTTTTACTAAATATCAAATGATAATTTCTCAGTTAGATATTCTTTTCCCTGTCTAGGTTTCTTCGATTATTTTATCGTTAATTTAAAAAGGTTTTCTTGCAATTTTGGAGTCCTGGGATTTTTCAAATAGCTTTAAACTCTTTAAAAATGTACAGAATTAAAAGAAATAATGCAGCCTTTGATCACATGGTTATTTTTAAGCCACATCAACACACATATTGGGTTTATACTTAACAGAATTCTAATAAAATTTTAGACTTTAAAAAAAAAATATTCTGCTTTCTACCTCTACTACTCAAGGTCAGTTGTCTCATTTTATGACTGTGTCCAAAAGGTTCAGAGCAAAGTATTGCTAAAATACACTCCAGAATGGCACCCATTTTTATTTTTCTATAAATCCAACCTAAACGTCACCAGGCACTTTGGTCTTACAGTGCGTATACTCATTTTGTGTGTAAACTCCAGCATGTTGGGCTAGAAAGCCCCTGCTCAGTACATAGCATCCGTAGCGGTGCATCAGTATCTGGGAGTGTCACATATCACCTGCGGGGCTTTTTGCCTTGTCATTTGTACTGTCCTGTCTATACAACTAAAGAGTAGAGGCTCCTGTGTCTGGGCCGTATTTCCTCTTCACATGCATCATGATGTTTGCACACAGTAGGTGTTCTATGAATATTTGTGGATCGATCTCGGGCTCACTATGAAGTAAAATGCAGTGATTTGGCAATCACTGGGAGCGGGACTTTCCCATATTTCTTCACTTCTCAGGTTTTGATCAGAGGCCATCTTATGTAATTTTTCAACTCGACATTTAAAACAACGATTTCACCAAAGAGTGAATTTGATCGCAAGGCTAGAGTGGCAGGGAGTTTGAGAGCCCCTCGCCGCCGCCCCCCTGGGTTCACCGGGAAGAGGCACAGATTGGGCTCACTAAAAGTCCTAGAGACACTCATATTCAGCAGTCTAACTCTAATTTTGTGGATTTCTGGCTTGAATGTTTTGGTTTCAGTTGAAGTATTGTCTACATGCGGAGAAGGGCACACGTGTTAAGGGTCCGGCTTGGTGGTATTCACAGACTGAAGGGCAGTTGTTGAAGGGGCGGACATCCCCATCGGCCTGCGTGCCCACCCGGTGCTCCGTCCGCTCCTCCGGGGGTAAACGCTTCAGTTTAATTGTGCAGATTGGTTATTTGGATCCTGTTTTGTTTTTCTTAATTGTGCTGTGTTTCAGATGGAGGTCTTATTAAGTTTTCTGTGTTTCATAAGATAATTTCTGATTGTAGTAGAACAAACAGAAATGTGGGGAAATCCAGGATCAAAGAATTGCCAAATGGCTCATATTAGCCAAAAGGCGCACTTTTAAGCCCATATGCGTATTTGGAGATATTCCTCATTAAAAATAATAATGAACGTGATATGGCTTTGAAATATTACATCTTAGAGTTTCTTCACACATGGAGTCATGATGACCCATGTTGTCAGCTCTCATGTTACTATTCTGCTCACTCTAAGAACCTAGACAGAGACATCCTAAGAGTCCATCAGGAGCATGAATTCTTTCAAATGGATCCCCACTGAACAAAAGCAGTTTATTAATAAAATCAGATGACCTTTATATTTTCTCCCTTGTTATTCAGTAGGGAATTTAAAAGGTAATAGAAATACATGTGTTTTAGGTCACCTGGGGGGCTCAGTTGGTTAAGCTTCTGACTCTTGG